AGGAGCTCCAGCTGTGACATCACACCTCAGCAATGGGCAGGGAGCCTTGTGCCAACCTGAGCAAGGCTGCATCCCTCTGGTTTGCCTCCAAACCCATCCCTCGGTATTTTCATCATCCCTTTTTCTGCTGGTCCAAGGGAGGGGCCATGGACAACTCGTGTGCTGGGGTGATGCTCCAGCACTCCAGCACGTGGAGGCTGTGCTGTGTGGCTGTGCAGGGGACACGTTTCCCTGCACACCTCGCTGTGGTCCCAGCTGCCAGGAGCCCGGAACTGGGGGGGCTCTGCAGGAGTGTCACGCCCTGCCCTCTGCTTCCCCAGGACTGGGGGAGCACGGCATTTAATTAAAGAAAGGCTGCCTGCTCTGGGATGCCTCCCAGATTGTCACTGGCATTTCTGTGATTGACAAACAGGCAAAAATATATTTGTTTAGGGATTATCTATATTGAAAACTGGACGCAGGATTTTGTCTTTGTAAACAGTGCAGTAATATCTGCTGTTTGAACAAAAGGAAGGGTATACTTTCCTTCCATTTAAAGCTACAAAAGCTCCCATATTTGAGTGAAAAGGGGAGACATTCTGTTTTGTTTATCCTGCCTGCTGAAGATTTGGGGATTTTTAAATAAGATCTGTGACTAAGGGAGCAGTAGGTTGATTTTCACTTTATTGGAAGGGTTATTACAGAGCGCATAGCATATGAGTTATTAGAGAGATGCGTGTCCTTGAAAACAGCCCTTAAAATCTTGCACAATTACGAAAATTCAGAATGATCCAGTATATTTCCTCATAGCAAGAAAAGTCACTTTGATATATTGAGAAGCCAAAATGTAACACTGCATTGCTTTGAATAATAATTTTATTTTGAAAAGCCACATTTGAAGAGAGCTCTTTGTTACAGATGGGAACACAGCTACTTTCATGGACCTAAATTAAGCTGCAGAGAAATAGCTCCTTCAAAATTAACACCCTTATTGATAGTTTCACTGTTGCTCAGATGGATCTTTCCCTACCATCTACCTACAAATAATTCTGTAGATGTTCATATATCAAAGGATCAAGTCAGAATATTAGTCATATGTGTTGGTCAAAGGATGAATAATACACAGGATAAAAGACTTTCCCCCAAATATTTGTCAGTAAAATCTAATGTTTCTGCACAATATTGCACTGTCTGCCCTTAAAGGTAGGCCTTTTCATCCACAGAGCAGCACCAGCATGAGGAACTGAAAATTTTCCCCAACATGAATGTGTTTTTCCTGTGCCCTGAAGAACAGCAGCAGCAGAGTAAGGGTCTGGCAAGTACAGGACCCATCTTTTCCTAGGACTTGTGCTGAGTTAATGGGACTCACACACATGATGAGGACTGCATTCCAGAGAGAAACTGTCTAAACACTCTGACAACCTGAGCTAGATTGGAAAGCAAAGCTCCTTCTTTGCTTCTTGCCATTTCTCTGACCCGATGCTGCTAAACCAGTGCTGAACTAGGAGTGGCAAAACCAGCCTTTGTCCCCCAAAAAAGGAAAGAAGCCCAGAAGTTTCTCTCAATGATTAAGTGAAAAGCCACCTCATAGGACCTCAGAGACTTCACCAAAAACTAGAGGACATCTAATTAGATAGAAGCCAAAAAGTCCCGCCTGAACCATCAGGTAGAAAAAGAAGATAACAAAAGAGCAAAAAACTTTTGTAAAGTGTTTTTACCAGGAGCAGACCTCTGCACCTAGCTCGAGTTTTTCTGTTTGTCATTTTGCCTTTTATTAAACCTTTTTTGTTTCTAACACTGCAGCAGAGGTCATCCTGCTTATTTTATGCCCCCAAAATAATAGCTGAGCTATCCTTGAGTGTATTATATTTCTTTTGAGGGCTTATAAGACCTGGCCCAAGAAAAAGAAACATAGTACTGAACCAGGATGTGGCAGTGCCATCAGTCTCATCCCTCTTCACACCACCTGGGGGACACCAGCTCAAAAACACCCAGCAAGTGATCCTCACCAAGCATTGCCTTCTTGGTGCCTTTCCTGGTTTCTCAGTCCTTGCTACCTTAGGATGCTGTCTGGTTCTGGGACATTCTCTTTTTGCACCATACATCAGGCAGGGCTTGCTCTGGTGCTGGTATTCTCTGATTGGTTTCTTCTCCCTTGGTTTTTTTGTTTTGTTTTGTTTTTTTGTTTTGTTTTGGTTTTGGTTTTTTATTTTGTTTTTTTTTGTTGTTGTTGTTTTGGGGGGGGTTTTTGGTTTGTTTTTTTGTTTGTTTTGTTTTGTTTTGTTTTGTTTTGTTTTGGGGTTTTTTTGTTTATTTGTGGGGTTTTTTTTTTAATCTGGTTGTTCTGTCCAATTTGTCTTGGAGTCAAACTTATCCTCTGGGGTCAAAACCCACCATGGCTGATACAGAAGCTTCATCACCCCTACACCTTTGTGTGCCTTCTTTTAGAATGGGAAAACAGGGTTCTCTCAAGGGACAACTATTGCATGCAGAAACTCTTACAGACTTCAGCAGGTCTTACTCCCTTTCTGCCCTGATTCCCCAGGGTGCAAAAATGGGACTTGACCTTACTGAAGCACTGCAAGGATTAATTCAGGTTTATGCAATGCTTTCAGTACATAGGGGGTAACCTGATCATGCTTATATTGTGGTTTTCAATAATGTAATTCCACTGACATTTGAATCCCTTTTTACATTAATATGTCCATAATTATGTAGAGAAATATCTCTAAAGAAAAGGCAGATCCCTTGTGATGAATTTAAATTACCTTGTAATTTATGACCCGAACACAATCCCTTATTTTGGTAAATAAAACTCAGATGATTTCTTGTGATGTGCATATTGCTGAAATCCCAATATTGTTGAACATATGTTGTTTTTAGTGTAGCTGCTTTTCTTCTCTCCTTCAATCGAATATGTAAGGCTTTTTAAAGGAAATTTTAAATGCTGAAAACAGCATTGATATCTTACAAGTTTCCATCTGGACAAAGATATCTGTGTAAATTTTCTGCTTACCTTAGGTGCTGGTTGAAGGCATAGTACTGTTAGCTGAATTCATCTCTGTTTCTTAAGCTTGCATTATTAATTTTGCATCATGATAAGTTATTTATTCAAAGAGGCAGCTAGTTCTTTCCTTTAAAAGTGATGTGATTTGCAGAAATGACCACACTTTTTTTTTTCTCCTAATGAAGTTATGCAAATCTGATCGACTAAAGTAAATGTTTCATAAAACCAATGACTGTTTAAATTGTGGGACTAAATTGTTTGTATATAAATATTACCTTTTATATTTCATTTGAGTTTTATGTAGATGAACATATTACTTTAATGGCCTGCATTTACAGAGGGAGACAGGGAGAGTCTGACTCTGAAATCCTCAGCAGCCAGATGGCTGCCTTTTCTTGCATGAGATTAAAAGATGTTTCTCATTCACAGCCCTGCTTCGGAGGCAAATTAATACAGCCAGCTAAATTGCTTGTGTTTTTGGAATAAAATTTAAAGAGAACTTTTAAAAGCAATTGGTGTCACAGGTTCCTAGAGCAGATTGCTCTCCAGGTACAGCATGCTGGTTTTAAACATTCAGTAATTAATGGAAAGTATTCCATGTTAATTGACTGCTTCAGGAAAGGGAAATATAATGACTCCTTATTAATCATGAAAAGAGACATACAGTACAGAGGCACTGCAATAATTGCACTAACGGTTGAGAAATGTTAATTAATGAAAAGAACAATGATGTAAGAAATTAGCACCATAATGCTTGCTGCTGATGGAAATTCTGCTTTAAACACATTATTTAGCATGGCAGACACTGGATGATGCCTTATATAGCAGACACCTCATAGCTTTTCCTTCAGCAGCTGCCGAGTTCCAAATGTTGCCGGTGTTTTGGGTTTTAATGAGCCAAAATATACACTCCAAATTCCATTTTCTAAGCACTTTCAGTTTGAACTCCTGAACTCAAAACTACTCAGACAGACTGACAGAGTTCAACATATGTAAAAATATTATCCAAGTGTAAGAGAGCCTGTTAGCATTTGTGTGGTGGGAAACAACTTCTTAGATGAGCTGAGCTAAATAGGTTTGCCAAGAAGATAACTGCATCATGACTTCTTTCCCCTTTTTAATTTTTCCACTCATTAACCAATTAGCTGTCCCCTGAAGAATTTAGAGGCAAGCAGGCTGTCATATTTGTGCCTGGCTTGATGTAAAAATTCATAAGCTATTAAAATGCAGACCCATTCTGGCACCTACTCCACCAGCAGCAGCACGGAGCTCTCAGTCAGCAACAGGTGGAAGGTCCCAAGGTTCCCACCATCGCTCTGCTGCACCTTTAAGGCAGCAGCAGGGTGAGATGTATCCCTCACTCTGAGCAGTTCAGAGAAGGTCGAGCTATCAATTACAAATAAATTTCCTAAAAGCTCATGTCTTCTCTTCTTTTTCTGATTCAGGACCTGGATTTAATGGATATCTTCATATCTTCATGGACATTTCTGCAAAGAAATGTCAGCCTATGAGACATTCAAAGATTTGGGGGGAATTTTGGCCACCTAAGTCATATGTTAGTTTAGCTGTATGACATGCAGACCGTACTTAAGCAGCGTACAAAGGTAGAATATCAAAAGCTCTCATTCTACCTCTACCATTGCAAGTGAAACACTATAGCTGCAGGAAAAAATAAAATTCTGCTTGAGAGATGCCAAATGAACATCCATCAAACACAAAAGCTTTTAGAAAGAAAACCTGTTGATAAGAAGCTTCTGTTTGCAGCAATACAAGATGGAAATGCATCCCTTAAGTGAATAGCACCAGAGTAATCTCAAATCCTCCTGGAGGTGTGATCAGCCCATGGGTGTAAAATAACCCAACAGTGTTTTCTGTATCATAGGAGAGGCACAGGAATAGTTTCATCCCTCATCCCTCTAACCCATGTGCTAGCATTTGCTGACTTCCCCAGGGTAGTTCCAGGATGGCCATTCCTCCACCCATGTGTCATATTGCTCCTGAAATTTTTTTTCAGGTGGAACATCCTTGGGCTCCAAGGCGCTCTGCTCAGCTCCTTCATCGAACCCCTGTACTTGCACAGCATCATTGTGGGAAGCCTGTGCCACACTGGCCACCTGTCCCGGGTGATGAGCCATAGGATAGAAGACATTGGTCAGCTGCCAGCTTCCTACCGGCGCAATCAGCTGCTCCTCAGTGGTAAGCAAACACCTGCCTGCAGACAAATAATCCCCCCTCCCATCTCTAGTCATGCTGCTGACCAACAGGAAGGCTTTTTGTTTGCATTGACTTGCACCCTTCTTTTTTTTTTTTCCTGAAGAACATGAATTTGTAGAATGAAGAAACCTATGTGTTTAAATCCTCTTTCATTAGCAGCAGCCACAAAAAAGGATCATTAATGGATATAAGCTGACTAGGAAAATAACCACTGTGCATTGAACACTCAGAGTGGAAAAAAAAGTGTGACTAAGTAAAACATTTCTGAAAACCAGAAGGAAGATTTCAGTAAATTTCAGATTTAACTGTCTTTAGGTCATCATGAGCCATGTGAATGCTAACAGACACCAGTTGTGCACCATTCTTATTTTAATCTTTGATAATTGTTCTTTGGGAGAATTCCTTGAGACATTAATATGATGTCAGTGTCACAGAGCTGGGAGGTCAGGACATTTTAGTCGAGTACCCCATTGCCTTTCAACGTCCTCTGGGTTCCTCAGTAAGGAGAGCTCTGGTTTATGCCTTACCTATTTCATGGGCTTTTTTTTAATATGTCCTTGTGACAAAATTTGTTTGGCTGAGGCAGAAGTGATAGTTTAGCCACTGGGGAAATTCTCAGGTTCTGTGTGTTTTAGTACATCCGCCAAGTGTAATGTGCATGTATGTGTTGTGAGGTCAAAAGGCTTATCCTTTTCTGAACAGCTTATCTCCATTTTTTAACTCTTCAGTGCAGCTGCAATCAAGTGAGTAGGAAGCTGTGATCCACACTCTCCCTCCAGTTTATGTCCCCACCTGTTCCTCCTGCCCTGGTCCAGCATGGGCATGACTCAGCCTCCTCTTCCTTCCCACACCACATTGTGGTAGGGAGGAAAGAACTCACAGCTGGCTGGGAGATATCTCCCCACTTCCCAAATCTGGCTGTTGTTTGACAACACAGCCCCATCTGCCAAAGCCACTGCATCTCCCACTGGGAAAGCAGATCTCATTCTGTGCCAGCCCTAGCACACTGCAAGTGCACCCACACATTAAGATCAAAGGCACACACAACTTCCTTGTGTCTGCAGGATGTACGTGGAAGCCCACTTGAACTGTTGAAGGACTGAGAACACAAAAAGGGATTTTGTAAGAGTTTTCACCACAGAGCAGCTATTGCTTTGCTGGGTTGGCCTTGCAGAGTAAAAGCAATGGGTCATACTTGGCCAGAATATGTGTGTATGTATGTACAAGAGTCATTGCCAGAGATTTCAAGGGAATAAGAAATTAATCAGAGTGAGCCTTGTGTCACTTTAAATATCTGCATGTTTCTGAGCTGTCTTCCTCCCTTCCAGAGGCTTCTCTTTGGAAAAGCATTTTCTTCGCTCTTTGGTTGTGTTTGTGGGTTTTCCTCAGCCCAGGAGAAGCAGTGGGAGGAATGTGTCTCTCTCTCTCTGCATTGTTTTTGTCTCTAACACCATTATTTATAATCTTCCCTCCCTCCACAAATCTCAGGGAGGCAATGCTAATTAAAACTTACATTGCTGAGGCTTATGTCACAATTCTTTTTCCTGGGAAATCCTGCCAGCAGCATATCCAGTGACTAAGGGATGGGCACCTAGAAAAATCTTCTCTAAATGCATTAGAGACCAGACCTACACAGTCTCAGCCGGGCAACTCCACCTCCCACACTTGTCTTGGACATCAGACCAGCCCAGGACTTCAGGAGTCCTTAAAGTATAAGGGTGTCAGTTATTTTGCCACTAGATCATAGCTGTAAAACATTCCAGTGGAGAGGAGAGTCATGGTGTGTGATGAGGTACCCTGAGATTGACTCCTTGGCTCCACTGAAAAATAATCAGTGAGGTTTTCTGCTCAGTTTTCTGCCAGTCCCAGCCAGATGGAGCTACACTCTTCCACTGAGATACTCTTGGGTGTAATTTTTAGAAGAAATGCCTTTTTTATATCCTGTCCTCTTAAGAGTGAGGCTGTTTTAAAGGGTGTCCTGATGGGTTATGAGGTTTTGCTGGGAGAGAGAGGAGAAAGAGGACAGATTTCAGTTCACATCCCATAGTACTCAAATTCGTATTATTTGTGCAAAGACTTTTCTTTTTCTTTCAAATCTGACTGTCTTCTGTTGTACTCTTTATTATGTGGGTTTTAAGAAGGATGTTTTACATAGCGAGAAAGTAACCTAGATTATTTGAGTGTTACTATCTAAATATATCAAAACAATTATTTCTCAAAAGAAAAATATGGAAGAAATTTTTTTTAATTATAAAAATGTCAACAATCAGAGAATATATCCATGCTCTATATTTGTTCTGTTATGACTATCATGTTTTTTTCTTTAAAAGTTCTTATTTTGCCTTCAGAAAAGGATGCGAAAATACCTTCTATTTACCTAAATACATCTATTTACATATGATAGCTGGGAAGAGAAAGTATGAAAGCCAAAGGAGCCCAGAGGAGTTTCCAGGCACTGGGACCAGCCTGGGCTACTCTCACAGCCCCATCTGATGGGCACCCACCACCTGCTCTCCCCCGTGCTCAGCCTTTCCTTCTCTTCCTCTAGTCAGGGAATTCACAACATTTTCATTTATTTACTGTCCTGTGGCAACTTTGCATGGCAGGGTGTCTGCTATCATGCTTTTTGGCACTCAAATCCTCTAAGCTTTTGGGTGCTATCTTGACAGAGAGTGGTGCATAGTGTCCAACAGCTGATTTTGATCTGTTTGCATCTTGTTCTGCGAAGAGACGCTCGAGCAGCACTGCAGAGCTATCTGATTTCCAAGCTCTCTGTTTAAATCCTGTTGCCTAGGTGAACTGGAGTTTTAGATGCAGACTGATCTGTTATCTCTGGGGGGAAAAAAATTGAAAGAGGTATTAATACGACATGAATGTGTTTACAAATCCTGGGTGAGGTTATGACTTAGCTGTAATTCTCTTCTACACAAGGTAGAGAGTTCAGTCCCAGTGACTGAGATGATTTCTGCAGTTCCAGCTTTGTCACTGATACAAAGTGAGTTTGCCATATAATTTTTTTTCCTTTCAAAAGCCACCTTTCTCTGTGTGTGTGTGTGCTAAGTTCTATTTGTCTCTAGAAGTTCCCTCCTAGGGCAGAGTGGACAGGGTAGAGAGGGGGCATGTCCCTCAGCGGCATTGCTCCTCATGATGCTGAGAGTCTCCAGGCAGGATGCAGCAGCTGCCCACAGAGGCAGCATCCCGGCCAGACAGACCCTGCATAACCCTCCACTTCTCCCGAGGTGTCTTTCAGGAGCTTTCCAAGCTCAACACATTCAGTGATGGGTGCAGCATTCCCACCAGCTCCCATCTCCTCCCATTCTGCCTCAGACCAACAGATGCTCATGGTATGCATCTGTTTTGAAAATGAGATCCAGGGCAAGAAGGGCTCTTTGGAAAGGAGGAGCTTTGATCTCTTTTCTTTAATCTCCTTCTCTCTGAACAGCCCATATCAGTGGTTCTTGCTCTCTGCAAAAGTTCTTTAAAACTCTCTCAGTGGAAAATGCAAGGGACCTCTCTCTGCTGCCCTCCACCCAGCAGCAATGGAAGCAATGCAAACCATGAGCTGTTGCTGGAGCTGCTGCAGGCAGGAGCTGCCATTTGGAAACACAGACCCAGTCCTGGCACTGGCCTCTGCTGGGGTGGCTGTGCCAGGCAGCTCCTGCCCACCAGCACAGTCCCCACCTGCTGCTCACCACAGTGGCTTTTGCTGTCCAGGTCTGCAGGCTAGTGGCCCACACAGCAAATTAGCAGAGAGAGACACAACAACTGGATCCAGACACATTATCCAAGGTCCATGTTTTCAAAAATATTCAAAGTGCTTCAGGTCATTCTGAGTTTTCCAGCCTTGGAAGCTCCCAGTGTTGATTCTTTGCTGCAAAAGCACTAATGAGCAGGGCAAGGCAGAGCTCACTTGTTTGCATTTGTGCTGTGCTGGAAAATAAGCCAAACACTTTCTTTATTCCTCTTCTAATCCTTCCCTGGTTTCAGGTACAAGAAATGAAAAAGCAACAGGAGTCATGGAAAGGCTGAGCTACACTAAATAGTTAAAAAGAGAGAAAAAATTACCTGATTAAAAATAACTCATATACACACCCATAGCAGACCTTGTAGCCCTGGTCTGTATTTAGAGCCAAAGAGATCTCACCCATGAAGGCATTGGCTCACTATTGGCCTCAGATGTCCAAAATTGGCCGTGTGAATGACACTAAGGTCATGCAGTCATCCCCGGTGACTGTAAACATCATTATTGCAGCTGTCTAAAATTACATATGGTGAATTCCACTTAAAGATGTCCCAGATATCACCGTTAGGACACTAACTAGCTGTTGAAGAAATTGATGCTCTAGTACAGGGTTGGAATCTGGCAGGCAGACATAAGGTGGGGACCAAGAGTGTTCTGTGCAGGTCTGTGATGTCTGCAAGGTCGTTATTAACTTGGATATAATAATATCTCTCTCTGTGATAATGAAGTGTATTGTTTTGTATTTTCTTATCCCCTGGGGTCTAGACATCCCTTCACAGCAAAGACAGCAGGAGCTAATAAATAAATAAATAAATATGCAGGACTGTGGGAAGCTCACGTGAAAGGACTCATGGCCAAAGCACTGTACTGCTTAGTTCCTTGTAAAAACCTGGTATCCCATTAGAGCATTTGTGAAAGATTCCACTCAGCAACCATCACACTGCTGTCAACAGCTCACACTCCAATCCAAAGTCTTTCCCTGGGCTAATGGAAGGTTTTCCTGCAAGGTGGAAAAAATCTATAGGAATTGCTAAGCTATTTTTCTCCAAGACACTTGGTCTGGTAACATTTAACCAATGGTGACAAGAGCACCTGCAGTGCACGATGCCAGCGGTTCACTGGGGGTGTCTCCCATGCCACAACAACCCAGCAGCAGCCTCCTAGTGAGCACTGGGGCTTACTGGTGTCCCTCTCCTCCAGGGGTGAGCCACGCCGATGCTCGGCAGCCCGGAAAATCTCCCGGCTTCAGCGTGAACTGGATCGCGGGGAGCGCGGAGCTGGAGGTGATCAACGCCACCACGGGCAAGCGGAGCTGCGGGGGCCCCTCACGGCTCTGCAAGCACATGTTCTTCACCCGCTGGGCCAAGCTGCACGGCAAGGTGGGTCTGGGGCCCTGGGAGGCTGCTCAGTGGCTGTCCTGCAGCACGTGCAGAATGAGAGAAGATGAAGACAAGAAAAGAATTATTTAATTAAGTGCCAAAACCTCTTTCCTGTTGGGAAACGAGTGGAAACAAACAAGATAGTGATGGTGGGGAGGGAAGTCGGAGACAATTCCACCAACAAAGTCATTAGGGAAGGCAAAGGAGCCTGCAGAGTGGGCAGGTTTGAGCAAAAGCCCCAAGGGATTGTTCTGCTCTGCAGGACACCTCAGGGGAAGGAGGCTGGTGGCACTCATCGCATTGCAGGCAGTGGCGTGGTCTGACCTTGTGGGGAGCAGAAAAGACCACCTGCTCTCTGTGCCCAGGGCTTGGTCACAGTGTGGTGACACAGGTCCCAGCCTATTTCCTGCACAGCAGGTAGGAGAGGCAAGAAGCACTCCTGCCACCCTCAGAACAGAGGGATCCTCACAGGAACAAAACTGGAGCTATGGCTGGAGCTGTGGCTGGGAGAGCTGGATTGCTTCTGGCTCACACCAGGGGTGAGGTTGCAGTGAGCAGGAGAGAGTAACTTGTGGCTGAGCAGGGCACTTTGCCCTTGACGAAACAAGGATTTGATAAAGTCATCACTCTCTACCTCTGGGGAACAAAGGGAACAAAGAGGCAGCCAGAGAGAAGCCACTGCTGCCAGGCCAGCTTGTGGCCCACTGACACCCAGGCTGGCAATGTCACCCTCCCTTGCTGACTGGGCCAGGACATCTCTAGCCAGTACAGACCATGGAGGGCTGGCACACAGACAGGAGCAGCTCATTGCAGGTTGCATGTTCACCTTCTCCTTTAATCTGCCTCTCAGCATCAATCCTGTATAGAGACAAGGAAAAGAGCTATTTGCTCATCAGGCTTGCCTTGAGGGTGCCTTTCCTCACAGGTTTGGCATGGCAGAGACTTGGGCAGGTCAGAGGAGTTTGTTTAGTCCTTCTGCAGAGCAAAGGGTGCTCCCTCCTGCATGTCCTTCCAGGGGCACTGCACATGTGATATTGCTGTGGGTAGCTCCAGTGTTCCAAGAGAATGTTCAGTTTTCCCACACCAGCACAAACCCTGATGCCTGATTTCTGCCCTGTCCTGGACAGGTTTCAGAGCATTCCCAGCAATAATAGACTACAGAGGGGAAATGGGAGTGTGTGGAAGGCAATCCTTCTTTTTCTGTGTTTGGGCATTACTTGGAAGCACTGAGCTGCTCCACTTCCCAGGCTAAATTTTCTTTAAAGTAGTACATGCTTTAAAGATCCCCAGAAAGGATTTCTTTCAGTTTTGTCCATAAAAATCATTTTGGCCGAGAAGTAGCATTCTGCCTTTGTCGAGCACACCAACACTTGCTACTGCCTATGCCCACTCCAAGGCAGAGCTGTTCAGCCCTTTCCTGCTCACAATGGCTCAAAACTATGTCACCAGCACTTATTGCTTCTCTGGCTTTCTGGTTGTTAATCCAAAAGCAAACACACAAAGCACAGTGATTGCTTATGAAATGTAGACAGGAAGATTATACAGCTACTGAAGCCTCATGTTTCTTTTGGCTCATAGGTTGGGTTTTTTAATTTTTTTCCCCTTCCCTGATTTTTGTTCTGCAGCTGAGCACACGAGTACCAAGCCATGGAGAGATGCCATCAGTGTACAGCGAGGCAAAGCTGGTGGCTCAGACATACCAGTCTGTTAAGCAGCAGCTGTTTAAAGCATTTCAGAAAGCTGGCCTGGGAACCTGGGTGAAGAAACCCCCAGAGCAAGATCAGTTCCTACTAACTGTGTAAATCACTCCACACCTTTTCTACATGACTGGATCAAACCAACTGGAGAGAAGGCAAGGCAGGACAAATGAGCGAAGAGAATTGAAGCAGTTTGAGATTTAATAGCAACCTCCATGGGAATATTTACTTTTAATCCTGTATTGGAAATACATAAGTAGAAATGTGTCTGATGCACTGAACTCAACTTTAGAAAACTGCTTTTTCATGATCCCTTCCCAAGAATGTACCTGCCCAAATTATAATGCCACCCCCACCAAGATTCTGCTTTTTATTGTTTATTGTTGTTGGTTATTACTGATTTGAGGTGTTAGTGGGCCACCTGTCTGAACCAAAATAGACCTTTGTTTTCCCTCACACAATCAGTGCAAAAGTCATCACTGAATAATGGAAAATAGTGAGCAGAGATGAAAGTACCCCAGGCACAGAGCATGACAGCAGGTCTCAGAGCATCCATAATCATCCACCAAAAAAAAGGTTCCTAACCTCTATGCAAAAATCATCCTGTAACTGCCTAAATCTGTGACAAAAAATTTGGACCTCAAAGAAATGCAGCATTTTTAAACTGATTTTTCCACTGCTGGCTCTGAGCACAAAGCCAGCCGTCAGGATGCCCTTGGATTTTACACTTATTCCCTCTGACACCTTGGACAAACCACTTCACAACAAATCAACTCCAGTCACAATTTGCATGCTGCAAATTTTACTTGTCTGGCCCAGTTAACCTCACATGCCTTTCAGACACCAGCCAGGATGCAGACCCTTGTCAAGGGGGCAAGTCCCCCCTGTGCTGCCTGCAGGGGTGCACAGCTCTGCAGGGGCTGCCAGTGAGGAGCAGTGTGTCCATGCTCCTGGCTCTGGATCTTCAGGAAGACACCTAAAGTCAGGCAGGCTGCAGCAGGACCCAGAGCCTCAGATCTCCAATCTCCTGATGACCCAGAGCTCTGAATTAAGTGGGTGTGAGCTCAGGATGCTCCATGCATCTGAGCAATCACCAGGCTGGGTACCCACAAGTAAGACATCCCCAAACAAGAGCACATTTGTTACTTGGCTCTTCCCTGCCTCAGTTTCTCCACCTGCCAAATGGGGATTACAATAACTGCTTCACATCTAAGGAACTTGGCAGGATCAAAATGCTCTGGTCATATGCAACAGTTTAAGACAGATTTTGTCAATCTTGCAGTGAGTTTTACCTCTCCACACAGCCCAAATGACATAAGCACAGCAGAGGCAACCACAAGTTTGGGTAAGGTCTTACTGAATGCATGAGCTTTCAGATTCTAGCTCTGTGTAAATGCCAAGTGTTATTATTACTCTTCATGCTCATCTGCAGCCTGAAAAGCAGATGGGCTTTGTCACTTAGGAGACAAGTATCACCCAACATTTAAATATTTTCTTCATAACTGGGCTGGGTCTGATACAATCTCATCTTTGAACCATCCCAAACTCATCAGAATGCAGAAGATGCTGTCATGGGAGAACTGAGCTTTGATTGTCCCACTGTAAAGCCAACCTTCAAACGCCCTGCACATTTCTCCAAGTTCCTGGGTTTTTAGATGACAGGATTTGCGGGTATATAACTACTGTTTTCTTTTTATTCCTGTGATTGTCTTTAAATCTGTATATAACATGCTGCTACTGATTTGTGATAATTGTCTTGGTATTTTCTCAGAACTGTCAAGCTGAGTTACTTTTCGAACAACACAAGGCTCATATTTTTCCATGTAATTTCCTTTACACGGGAAACTGTTCCTATCAATAAAGATAGATGCTCTTTGTATAGGGTTTATCATGTTTGGAGAGCCATATACAGTAAATACATTGTTTATTGATGCCCACAATAGAATAGCTACAGTATTTTGATGAAATTTTATTTTTAGATTATAAACTACAAGATGTATCTATAGTGTCTTGTATAAAAACAATTGTGATAAACTAGAATTTTTAAATTAGGTAAAACAAAGCTCTCCCCTTCCAGAAACCTTTTCAACAAAATAATACATTCCATACTAACTACCAAAAATATTTTAAAAAATACCCTTAGAGTAGAAATAGCTTGGGAAAAAAAAAAAAAAAAAAAAAGCAACCAAAAACTGAGTCTTTTCGATAATGGAAACACTTTGTGGTAACCACTTTGTCAATACTTTGACCACTTTGACCGCTCTTCTGATTAATATTTGAATACTTTTGGCGCCTTCTGGAGCTTCCAGGTACCTGCACATGGTCCTGTCCTCTAACACAGCTGTCGCTGCAGACCTCCAGTGTTCCAGTGTGATTTGGGCAGCGGGCAGGGCCAGCCCATGGCTGGAGGTGTGGGAGAGGCTGCAGGGGACATTGGCACTGGTGGCCCCGGTGCTTTGGCTGCTCCCACTGAGGAAGAGAAACTACAGGGCAGCCAGAGAGGAAAACAAGGCTCCTCATGCAGAGCTGCACAGGGCAGGGGGAAGCATGTCTTCTGCTTTTCCTCTCTGAGTTAGTCCTTGTCTAACACACATGAAACCTCAATGGCTCTTCCTTACAGCTCCCTGCCCTCACCCATCCTCCTCCAGCCACGGCATGAATTCAACCCAACTAATGCATTATAGTTCCACCAGGCTGGTGTTGCAGCTACTGTGACAACAAAGCACCATGCCTGGTTATTTTTAAGGACATAGAAAAAGCGTGGCAGGATGGAATGATCCTTTGTTGCAGGAAATACATAAATGCAACCCTGGGTTCAGCTGCCAAAATGAGTTTAGTAGTGGGGACCAAACTGAGTCCCCACTGCAAGTGGGCATCAACTGATCTCAATGGAGTTGCACCTGCTGGCACTAGGGTTGAGTATGACCTTAAATATCTACTTTTTCTCATTATGTGCAACAACAGTGTGATGGGACTCCATCCCAGAAGCACACAGGACCTACACACAGCATTTCCTGAAGCAAAGGAAAAACTGCTCAGTAGTAATTCTTTAGTGAAGATTCTGTACATAACATGCATGAGTGAATGGCAATACTGTACTAATGGATGTACATTTGTAATATTTGTAAAAAAAAGAAACAAAAAGAATGACAAAAGAAAATAAATCTGAATTTACATATGTGAATTTGCTGCTAAGTTCTGTAAATTGCACTTCAGTGATACCTGATAAGTGAATGTTTCTGTTAAGTGAATAAAATGCCAAGTAAAATTGTTCTTTCACTGTTTATTGACCATTTTTCACTATGACTTAGCAATCAATTGGAATGTGCTCCAGAATGCTAGTTTGTATTTTCAAACACACCTCCTCTAGATCTACAGATATCTTTTTGTTCAGTTTGGATGTGATGCATTGTGGGAATCACACATTCGTGTTGAGAGAGGGAGGAATGTGCCTGCTCATGTAGATCATGTAGATCATCATGTAAATGAAGCCATAAAAGGACACAGTATTTTCCTGGAAGAAGAGTGAACTTGATACATGTCTAATTTGATCCTTCCAGGTTACTCTCAAAGATCTTTCTCCATAAAATTTAATACATTTTTTCAAACCCACATTGCATGGGACTTGCGCACAAAGCTGCTTAAGAAAACTGAAGTGATGAACAAAAGGTCAGAACATCTCTACAGATCTCTGCTTCATTGATGGAGTGGCTTTGGATTGTTCTTGCTTTGAACAATCAGTATTCAGCCACAGCAGACTAAACTCACACTGAGCCCAAACAACACCATCCCCACAAGTGTTTAACCTGGAGATGATTTCCCTTTGCCAGTCCTTATAGAGATCTCTGGTGTTACCAAAACATCCAAAGCTTTTCAGCATCACTGTGAAAATATGAATACACCAACAGCAAAAATGTTCAAGAACAAGATTTCCCGGTCCATCTCCCTGTGAACATTTGGTTCCAAGATGAAATCGAGCCTGACAGCTCACAGGGAGCCCCATCAGCTCACTGGCCCCACAGGTCTTTGCTTGCTCCTGTTGAAGAAGTCAGTGCCAGACCCTCACAGACTATCCCATGGGTTTCCTTCCCCAGCAGGTGTTGTGCATAGCTTTATTTTCAAGCTAAGACTTTGCTGCAGTTTCATTTCCTCAGCTTGGATCTATGTCATTGGGGCAGGTTGAATAGAAGCAGGGAGAAGAAAGCATTGGCAAGGTGAAGTTGCTTGTGTGGAAAAAAAGTCACTGTGAGCTGACCCAGTTCCATCAGAGCCATGGTGGACTTTTGCCTTGAGCTGTAGCTGCTACTGCTTGACCATGGCACACACCATAACACAACAGTCATTAGGGCAAACTGTAGGGATGGATTCCATGCTTAATCTCATTAAGTTTAAAGGGTAAATACCTGAACTTCATTTAAAACTTTACAGTGTACATCCCAGCACAGTTACTTCTTTTTCAACTCTATATTGGAAAAACAACAGAATAAAAGATGAACAAGGTGATATATTGACTAATAGAGGGCTTCACAGAAGAGCCTGCTTCTGAAATAAATAAGTCCTTCTGCTGCAATTAGACCTTGATAGCCATGCTCGTGTGTTGAAGAATGAAGCAGCTATCTAAGAGCTTTTAAAGCTTTTTGATTCATTACCATTATGCCTGTTGTCCAGCCCTGAGACCTGATTAGTTTGACTGGTTTCAGCTTGATCAGGTGGATAGCTGGAAATCTGAGTAAAGTCTGAGATTTTTTTAAAGGAGAGTGACAGTCTGCTTGGATGAAAAAAAAAAAAAAAAAAAAAAAAAAAAAGAAAGAAAAAAAAAAAAAAAAAGAAAAATTAAACAACTCAAAGATATACAAGCAAATGCAGACATATAGACATATGGTTTCTTACTACTCCAAGGCCTCCTGAATAAAAGACATGGCTTGGAAAAGGGGGACTAATAATTATTGCCTTTTCAGCAATGAAATAGTTCTGCTCAAATGCCTTATTCAACCTGGCTTTCCTGGTAATTAAATCCTCTATTAGAGAAGTTTATGTTCTATTTTATCAACTTCCTTTGCAATATAGAATTACTTCCACCAGACCATTAAAGCCTTGTTCTGCCA